CTCCAAAGATGTGAGAGAATTCCAAATTCCTACAATTAAGCTTCTTCTGAAAGAGAACAAAAAATATTTTTAAAGTAAGATGGTTGCTACTTTACTTTTAAAAATTAAAATACATTAATACATTACAAACACATGCATTATTTCTGCAAAATGTGGGATTTGTTTCCAAAGAATTTTTTTCTTTTATTTTAAATTTGAAATTATGCATTCCTTTTCATAAAACATACAAATGTAAAGAGGACCTAAGTAGTTGCAGCAATATAAGGCTCTCAGGAGAGAACCAAGTCACCATCTGTTAGAGAGGTATTTATTTTACAATTAGCAAAAGGTAAGAGAATACTTGTTGAAATGTTTGCATGGACTCAAGAATATAAACTAAAGCTTCAGTTTGAAGACATTTATTGAAGTCCCCAGTAGGCTGGGCATTAAGTGAAGAAGTCTTTGGTTCTTGCAACACACAAAACAAGGAAAAACATGAAACAGATCTCAGTTCTATGTATTCCATTTTGGCTTCTGCAATGGTAGTGGCAGAGTAGAGGGAGAGGAGACAGAGGGTGTTCTTAGGGAAATTGAGATCTATAATTTTTTACATTTTTGCTACAACTGAAACTAGAAGACAAAAGTTGTAATTAATGGAAAGATGATTCATAGGTCCTCCTTGGAGAAGCAAGTCACCTTTCTAAGTTACCAAGAGACCACTTAATTGGATAGTCACTTTATATTGAAGTACTCATGATAAGCATTTATAAAAAGACTACCATGAAAGTAATATAGTTTATATACCAACATCTACTGCATCAGATGAGATGGTAGAGAAATTCTCCAAAGAATTCAATCAGATCTCCCAAATTAAATTAACTAATACTCAATGATTTTGATGCAAAAGTGGGCAGAGAAGAGGACTGTGAAAAATATTTTGAAAAATATGGTTCAGGAATTATGAATGAAAGAAGCCAAAGACTAAAAGAAAAACACTACATCATCACATCTATGAATCATGAATACTCTTTTTCAAGATGGAGGTGGGAAGGTCCTAGACACAAGCCCCAAGCGTCAAATAGAATCTCTGTCTCTGTCTCTCTGTCTCTCCTCCCACCTCCCACCTCCCACCTCCCACCACACAAACACACACAGACACACACACAGACACAGACACACACACAATTGGTTATATATGAACAAACAGGAAAAGACTGGGAGTCATTTCTAAATTAGTTGTCTTTGTACAATCTGATCATAAATTTATTATGGTAAAGATAAAAATCGATAGAAAATTCACATAAGAAAAAAACAAAGCATGAAATTAGTAGTTCCAACTTGCCCTATGTGAATAAAATGTTGCTAATGAAAAACAGGAAGTGGCTAAAGGTATTGACACATCACAGATGATCATACTTCCTATGGCAGTTCAATTCCTGTAAATAAATCTGGAAACTACCTTGGATGGCCAACACATGATCTCTTTGCCAAATGGAGAAATATAGGAGCCAAAGGCAATGTCAGTTTAGAATATAAATTTATTTGTAAAATCCTACAAAGAATTCTTTCAATTCAAATTAAGAAACATTTATTAAAAATCTACTATGTGCATTACACTGTGCTGGGTGCTAGGGATAGAAGCATACTATCCTCAAGAAGTTTACATTTTCAGCCAAGATGGTGGAGTAGGAGAAAGCAGTACAATCCATCTTACTCCCTTCCCCCACATACACATACATAGCTACTCCAAGAAGACCTATAAAATGCATTAAGATGAATCCTGATCATGAAATCATTCCGCCCCCCCCCCCCAAAATCATAGTGGATCTTTCTTTTCAGTCCACATTATCATAATGAGATGGACAAGGTCTCTGGACACTGAGAATAGGATTTGCTGTGCAGGACCTTATAGTGTGGAGACTAAGCTAAGGTTGCCATCTAAGACTATAAATTACAAAGAGGTGCCAACCTGCATTAGTGGAGGTAGTTTTTTCATCCAGAAGTTTCATATACTGATGATCATGGGTCCATGTTATTTACCAAGTTATGCCACACAAGTATTTGTTTTAGAAATGAAAAAAAAACTTACATAATTCATTCAATCACAAAATAGAAGTTTAAAAACAAAATGGAGTTATTTAGGCTATGCTAACAAAGTTATTCTCACTATAGCAGGAAAATTCAAAGAGAAAAATTCCATTCAAAAGAACTACAGAATGTCTATAATACTTGGAAATCCATAATGTACAAAGGAAAATGAATGCAACAATTCCGGGACACCTAGGTGGTACTGTGGATAGGGCATGGAGTCAGGAAGACTTATCATTCTGAGTTCAAATCTGGCCTAGACATTGCTGTGTGACTCTGGGCAAGTCACTTAATCCTGTTTGCATCACTTCCCTCATCTGTAAAATGAGCAGTGTCTTTGCCAAGAACACCCTAAATCGGGTCATGAAGAGGTGGATATGACCAAACTGAACAAACTATTCCTAAATAAAGACAGATATTAATCATTCCTTATTGAGCCATGAATATATAGTAAAAACAACAATACAACCCAAATTAGTTTTCTTTTTCAGACTATATAATAAACTACTAAAAGATTACTTTATAGAACCAGAAAAAATGATTTAAAAAATTCATCTGGAAGAACAAAAGTTCAAGAATCTCAATAGAAATAGTGCACTAGTACAAGATAAAAGAATTGTGACTAGAGAATAATTCTTGAGGAAAAAGACATAGGGCTTTCCTTAGACTGCAATTCCAATATAAACCAACAATTTGTTATGGCAACCAATAAAAGCTAATGTGATTTAGGATATACTAATATAAGTAGGAACACTGAGGTTTTAGAGCTTCAAAGCACTTAGGCTTTTCTGCTGACAGATTTGCATAATAAAGGCACGAATTTTAACTAAGTGGGTCTCCTTAGCTTACCTTTTGTTCTGGCTTAAATTTCTTCACCACAAAGCCTGAGAGGATTTTGTGAATATGTAAGATTGTCAGCATTCTAAATTAGATTGTTATCTGTAATGGAAGGCTTTGATTTCCTACCCTGATAAAGGGTTTGCAATGAAGAGATTTAATCTTAGACTGGTAAGAGCTATTAATCAGTTCTTAGGGAGATATTCCTTAGGGACCTCATTCCAACTGACTGAAGCTGACTTGGTTTAGCTGAGCCTGAGGAGATGAGCCCCTGGGACAGTAGTACTAAGGCACACCAGTAAAGATTATAGGGCAAAAACTGTGTGGTGAGGTCAACAGAACCCATGAGAGAAGAGATGCTATGTCCAGATAGGACCAGAAATAGTTCCAGAGAGTTCAATAGAGATGGCATGCCTAGCAAGGAGTTGACCTAGTGACAGCAGTGTGATGACACGATCAGAAGGCATCAGGGATCCTACAGGGCAGGGGTATGAGTTGCCCTCCACATATATGCCCAATGTGTACATTAATCTGAATGCACGCTTACTTTCTCTACTGATGATGTGTATATTTGTGTGCCCTAGTTTATGAGGGGAATGTTCTATTGTAGATCTTCTTACTAGGCAGATTCATTAACTATTTTTGCTCTAAAATAATTCTGTTTTCTAGGTGAGGAAAAAAGTAAATACCTTAGTGGATATGGACCCATAGAGTATTTTGAACTTGGAGATCTGGAATCAGAGAATTGGCACCAGAGATATCAATGCACCATGATTAGTAAATATAAGTAGTGTTTAGTATTAAACACAGTAAGTAACATTTTGCTACGATCAACTATGATTGACTTAGCTCTTCTCAGCAATACAACGATCTGAGACAATTCCAAAAGACTCATGAAAGAAAATGCTACCCACATCTGGAGAAAGAACTGATGGAATCTGAATGCATATCGACTCATACTATTTTTACTTTTTTTTCGTGTTTTTTTCTCTTTTGTTCTGTTTCTTCTTTCACAATATAACTAATGTGGAAATATGTTTTATATGACTGCACATGTATAACCTATATCAGATAGGAGAGGGAGGGAGGGAAAAAATTTGGAACTCAAAATCTTGTAAAAAGTGAATGTTGAAAATTGTCTTTACAATTAATAATAAAATTAGTTGTTAATAATTACAAGAAAATACTATTTACATGAAAAAATAGTGTTCAGAACCAGAAAGGTGATTATCCTGTATTCTGCCCAGGTCAGACGACATGTAGATTATTGTCTTTTATTCTAGGTTCCAAGTGTTAGGATGGACATTGACAAATGAGAGTTCACAAAGGTAGAGCACCCGAGTGATAGAATTGGAGATGACGTTATATAGGATGCACTGGGGATTTAGGGACTGGGGCTATTTAGTCCAGAGAATAGAATATTTAGAGGTGTCATGATTATTGTCTTTAAGTATTTTGAAGGATTGTTTTATGTGGAAGATGGGTTAGATTTGTTTTGCTTGACTCTGGAGAGCAGAACCAGGAATCGTGGATGGAAGTTAGAGAGGCAGATTTAGGTTCCACGTAAGAACAATTTCCTAATATTTAGAGCTGTCCCAAAACTGTTGCTCTGGGAGAGTTTACAGTAGTTTTGGGGGAAGGGAGTCAAGAAGAGCCTAGGTATGCACCTCTAAGAATCTGTTCTATTTCTGAGTCTACACAGGTTTTTGCTTCTTTCTCTGCTCTCTCTACTTCCCTCCCTATTTAGCTTCCTTTGGGGCAGTCAGGAAAACAAGGCCTGTCTCCGTTGCTATGGCAACCGCTGTATTTCCATCACTGCCTGCTCCTCCCAGCCAACCAGTCCCCCTCTCTTCCCCCACTTTTTGTATCCATTGTTCTCTTTCAGCCCCTAGGTTTTGGCCACGCCTCTTCCTACCTCAGACTACAAACACTTTCTCCTCCTCCCCAGGAAAGGAGATCCAGAGGTTGGGAGGTGACTAGTACAGGGGTGAAGGCGCGAGCCCCCTTCTCCTCACAGCGAGGTGACTGTTAACAGAAAAGTGTCGGTCTGCAGGGACTAAACCTGCAGGAGGCAGGACTGTGGTGGTGATGAAGTCATGTCGGATCTGGGCTTTGAGGAGATAGAGGAGGAGAGGGAGAACTATCTCGGGGTGAGGATGAGGATTATGGCTTCAGGGTGAGGGAAAGGCGGCGGGGGCATTTGCGCCAGTTGAGCTTTGGACAATACCGCCGCCCCTTTCTCTTGGATACTCCTGGGCTTATTAACAGGGTTAATAATAACACTGTTAGGCGTTGAGCTCTGGTTTGCCCCCTGACTTTCTAACAACTCCCCCGCTGCCTCCTGACCTTTTCTGCAACATCAGCTCTTGCCGGCGCTTACTTGTGAGCAAGTCCAAAAGGATCTCTCTTTGTATCTGTCTGTCTTCCCTCCCTCTATGGTCTCAACTCCCAATGGGTTCAATTTTTGGTGTGGGAAAGGAGAGAGTGCTGAACTTTCCCTCTGAAGCTTGGATTCTGGAGGCCTGAATTTTTATTGGCCACTTGAGAGTGTTTCTTGAACTTGTGCTTTTACTTCTCTGGTCCTCTCTGTGAGAGTGTATAAGACCCACCCTTTGGAAGAGCCCTTTAACCATTAGTGACAGGTGGTGTCGGGGTGGATGATATCCAACCTATGGAGCTCCCGTTGACCTTTGATTTCCCCAAAAGGCCAATGATCACCACTCACTTTTCTTTTACCCTCTCCGTACTGTTTCCCAATCCCTCTTCCCTTTTCTTCCTAAGCAATACCTATTTAAGGCAAAACTTTTAAATTTGGCATTCAAAGTTTTTCATCGTGTGTTACCAGTAATACTTTCTATTTCCTTAATGCTTTTTAAAGCTTGTAAAATGCTCTTAAAATTAGTATTTTCTTTTCCCCCAAATTACATGTAAAAACAATTTTAACATTCTTTTTTCCTCAAATTTTGAGTTCAAATTCTCTCCCTTCCTCCTCCCCCTCCCCTTGAGAAGGCAAGCAATTTGACATAGGTTACACATGTGCAGTCATGCAAAACATATTTCCATGTAAGTCATGTTGTGAAAGAAAACAGACAAAAAAAAAGGAACTATTTAAAGGAAAAGTATGCTTCAACCTGCATTCAGATTCCATCAGTTCTTTTTCTGAAGATGGATATAATTCTTCATGATAAATTCTTCAGAATTGTCTTGGATCATTGCATTGCTGAGAATAGCTAAGTTATTTACAGTTGATCATCATACAATATTGCTGTTACTGTATACAATGTTCTCCTACTTCTGCTCATTTCATTTTGTATCCATTCGTGTTAGTCTTTCCAGGTTTTTCTGAGAGCATCTTGCTTGTCATTTCTTATACCATGATAGTATTTCATCACAATCATATACAACTTGTTCAGCCACTCCCCAACTGATGGACGTTCCCTGAATTTCCAATTCTTTACCATCACTAAAAAGAGCAGGTATAAATATTTTTGTACATGTAGGCCCTTTTCCTTTCTGTTTTTTTTTAATGTCTTTATATAGACATAGTAGTGGTATTGCTGAGTTAAAGGGTATGGGGGTCTATAGCTTTTTGGGTAGAGTTCCAAATTGCTCTCCAGAATGATTGGATCAATTCACAACTCTGCCAACAGGATATTAGTATCGCAATTTTCCTACATCCACTCCCACAAAAATGACACATATCTAATCAATACCTAAACCACTAAGGGATAAAGGAAAGAAAGAGAACCTTACACCAATATTGTTGATAGCCATTTAAGAATTTAAATAAGATCTTGGCAAAAAGACTACAGCAATTTGTCCAAAAAATCATTTACTATGATCAAGTTGCATTTATACCTGGGATTCAAAGATGGTTCATACTGTCTAGCATATTGTAGGTGCTTAATAAATGCTTGATTACTTGAATTCCCAAAGCTAAGATGTGTCAGAGCTGGGACTCATGCCCACATTTCCTGAATTTCAAGTTAAGATCACTGCTGCAAACTACTCCCCTTCTCCAGCTTTATGCTTAAACAAACTAGATCACTCTGCTCCAAGAATACTTCCTATTACCTCCATGACTTTGTTCACAACATTCCCTAGATTTAGAATACTCTTTAGAACATGCCTACAACTTAAGCTTATGTATCCTTAAAGACCTGGATCAAATGCAATCTTTCTGTTGTGATCTAGGCAGTATTATAAGGTTGAAAGAGTATTGGATATGGACAAAGTTAATCCCAGGCTAATTTTCCTCATTTATAAAATGGGATTTATAACCAAACAGGAGATAGAGAACATTATGAAATGCAAAATGGATAATTTTGATTACATTAAATTGAAAAGTTTTTGCACATACAAAGCCAATGCAACCAAGATTAGGAGGGAAGCAGAAAACTGGGAAAGAAGTTTTATAACCTTTTGACCTGGGTTTGAGTCAGTATACTGTTAGATTCAGCCCCTGTCAATCAATTGGTTTAGCATGATGAAACTTGTGGTCTGGGATTTCCCTCCCTGGTTATCTCTCTGCAGGCTTCAGACTGGGCTAAAAGCTGAAATTGAGATGCTCCTTGGCTCCAGGGATCTGAGCCGTATTGCTGACACTTGCTTCTGAACTTTCTCTTCTCTTGGTACATAGGCTAGGACCTGCTTAACATTCCTTACCCTCAAATACTACCCTGGATAAGATTCTTTCCTCAGTCTGTCCCAGATCTGTGATGCAGAACTGAGTAGTGAGTGACAAAGTTGCCAGATGATACCCATTCCTAATACACAGCCTTTCCTATTGGAATGCTTTGAGCTCCTGGTGAGACCCCATTTCTAGTGTACACAGACTTTTCTCTGTCTTCCTCTTTTGACCTGGGATTAAAAAAATTATTCATTTTGACTTGTTTTTTAGATTTCTCCATCAAGATTCAGTCTGGTGCAGTTTTGTTGGGGTGGGGGCTCACTGTAATTCTTCCTGCTACTTTGCCCTATAAAACATTTTTAATGACTCCTGACTTAACCTTGAAAGAAGAGCCCATTTTATTTTATTTTTTAAAAACATTTTTTAATTAATTAATTTATTTTGATTTATCAACAATCACTTCCATATGCTTTTGAGTTTTAAATTTTCTCCCCCTTCCTCCCCACCACTCTCCCCAAGATGGCACACAATCTGATATAGGCTATACATATACATTTCTATTAAACATATTTTCACATTAGTGATGTTGTAAGTAAGAATTAGAACCAATGGGAGAAACCACCAGAAAGGAAACAAAACAACAGAAGAAAAAAAATAGTAAATAGTATGCTTCGATCTGCATTCAAACTCCATAGTTCTTTCTTTGGATGTGGATAGCATTTTCCAACACGACACCTTTGGAGATGTCTTAGATCCTTTTATTGCTGGGAAGGGATAAGTCTATCAATGTTAGTCATTACACAATGTGGCTGTTACCATGTACAATGTTCTCCTGGTTCTGCTCGCTTCATTCAGCATAAGACCATACAAGTCTTTCCAGGTTTTTCTGAAGTCAACCTGTTCATCATTTCTTACAGCACAATAGTATTCCATTACATTCATGTACTACAACTTGTTCAGTCATTCCCTAATTGGTGGGCATCCTCTCAATTTCCAATTCTTTGCTACCACAAAAAGAGCTGCTATACATATTTTTGTACGTGTGGGTCCTTTCCCCATTTGTATGATCTCTTTGGGATATAGCCCTAGAAGTGCTATTGCTGGGTCAAAGGGTGTGCACATTTTTATAGCCCTTTGGGCATAGTTCCAAATTGCTCTCCAGAATGATTGGATCATTTCACAATTCCACCAACAATGCATTAGTGTTTCAATTTTCCCACATCTTCTCCAACATTGATCATTTTCCTGTTTTGTTGTGTTGGCCAATCAGGTAGGTGTGATGTGGTACCTCAGAGTTGTTTTGATTTGCATTTCTCTAATCAATAGTGATTTGGAGCATTTTTTCATATGGTTATAGTTGGCTTTAATTTCTTCATCTGAGAACTATCTGTTCATATCCTTTGATCATTTATCAATTGACTTGTATTCTTATAAATTTGACTTAATTCTCTATATATTTTAGAAATGAAGCTAGAAGAAACCATTTTTAAAATACCAATATTCTACTGGTTGTACTGCCAGTCTCTAGTCTCCAAAGAAATACTGCCAGTCTCTAGTCTCCAAAGAAAATCATTCAAAAGGCAATAGAGATATGCATGGTGGATGTGGGAAATTATGACACATGACAAGGAACTCTGAAGAACTAAAGAATGGAATCATGAATGGTAGAACAAGATGGGTCAGTCACTTGGTCAGACTGAAGGATGGACAGCTTTTGTGCTCCATTGAAATGCTTTCAACATCAAGAGAAAGTTGTGAAGGTCCTCAGCACATTGGACAAATCTCATTTGGCACCTGTACAGTAAGACACATACAGGGGTCACAAAAGTGGGCAGGAATGAATAGGCTGTGCTCTGTATCATGGGAAGAAACATCTACACTGATGTATGTTAGTGATCTTTCAGCTGTATGTAGGATGGATTGGAGGGGAGAAAAACTAGACATCGTTTTCCATGCTTCTCCTTTGAAATTACATTACAGAAATTCTCATGCTTAGTGGGTGGCAGGACCAGTGGCCAGAGCTGTGTCTCTATGGGTAGTCATCCTTAAAAAGAGTCCAAAGTGTTAGCTGTGCTATGGTTGCTCCCCTGGTTGGTGTTCACTCCTTAAATGTATATGGGATCCTATAAATTTGGAATCTCCCTCTAACATTGCAAATCCCTGGAATGGTAGCAGGGTGGATAAAGATAGGACTCACCTTCAGAGAATGGTGGGATCATGGATACTAAGCCAGGGATCTAGAATAATCTTTAGATAGAGATGCTCATAACATTCAAAAGGTGCTAAACTAGATGCTGACAGATTCAAATGTCTAGGAGCTTTGTGGTCTTCAAGTATAAGCAAAGTGAGCATTTACTAAAATAAAAAAATGTGTATCCCTATAACCCAGGCTTCCACATTCCTCTCCTCAAATATCTTTAATTTTATTTTTTTCCCTAAGGCGTCAGAATTTTTAGGTTGAAAGTAAGATTGTTGTAAAATAGAGATAGTCATTTACTAGCATTTTTGTTTGTTTGCTTTATTTTGTTTTGTTTTTGTAATCTAGAGGCCACTGTTGGGAATTCCAGGGACTTTTCACCTGGAAGATGATATTTCTGTCTGTTTTTAATCTAGCCTTAGAAGGAAAGTAGAGAATGACCTACATTTCTGTCTAATAGTTTGGAAGACTTTTGGACAAGACAGACCATTGGAAGAGGGAACAAGTACAACTTAAGAAACTGGTTCTGATGCTTTTTACAAATGTTCATTTTTTTATTGAGACATGAAAAAGGTTCAGATTCTCAGAGACTCAAATATTTAACAACTAGGTTGTTGTTGTTTGTACTTCATTTTCAAAGTGAACAAATCACATCATGGGGTGATGTCTTAACTTGTGTGTGAATTGGATTTAAGTGAGGCAGAGTCACACAAAGTCATCAGCCTCACTCTGTCTTCCAAAATCATCACAGTCCAGTGGCAAGACTAAAGTCAAGACAGCTGGTGATGGCCCAGGATGAAGTGGATGACCTTGGTGTCTTCAATGTCTGACCAAGCTTTAAGGGCTCCATAGCACCTGCTTAAGCCACCTTCATAGCCTTGGGAACAAATTGTTCTCACCTACCTATTCCACTAGGGGCAGTCTTCACATACTCGGAGTAGATACTCCCCTAACTGAATGAAAGGTTTGAGGGTCAGCTACCCTCAACCTGGTTTAGCCTGTCTGCCAAAATGGCTTACTGGAGTGTGGCTGCAGTGCATGCTACAGCTTCTTGGAGGTGAGAGTTGAGTGCCTGATAGATACCAAAGGTGGATGAGCAGGCCAGACTCACACCAGAGATGTCCTTAAACACCACATACACCCTTCACAACTAGTAAGTAAGTGTCAAAGGAGGGATTTGAACCCAGATCTTTCTGACTCCAAATTCAATACATAGTCCATTATGTTATACTGACCTTTTAAACATGTTCTTTGGGGTTCCTCAATGGTTATATGTTGATGGCAGCCTATTCCCTTTCACATTCTGGTAAACTTCATAGAGCATGTTTTGTAGTGTTCTAGGTATTACTTTGATTAGTACAATTTTATCTTTTAATGTGAGTAACTTTATCTTTTTTTTTTTTGTCATAGAGTAAGTAGTAGATCTGAGAGTCAAATCCAGGTTCTGTGACTCCACATTCAATGTATTTTTTTCTTTTGCACCTCTCATTTTCCATAACATTGGTCAACATCTTAGATAAGCATAGGGCTTCTTGTTTTGTATCTTATTTAACACTGAAAGTAGGTTATTGAATAAAGACACCTCTGTAGTTGTGTATTGTATAATTTCTATACATTTTGTACATGGAATCATATAATTTTTATACATGTGAGAGATCCCTTGTCTGAGTAAAGTCTTCAAGTCTTTTGTTCTACTGAGCTAAATGCTTTTAGAAAACCAAATAAATGTGGAAATGTTTTGCATGACTGCACATGTATAATCTATATCTAATTGTTTGCCTTCTAAAAGTGGGGTAAGGGAAGGGAGGGAGAGAATTTGGAACTCAAAATTTTCAAAAACAAATGTTAAAAATTTTTTGTTTGCTTGTAATTGAGAAAAAATAAAAATAAACAACATTAAAAAAGAAAACCAGTTAAATGCATGTAGTGAATGATAGATATAGCAAAAATCTCATATCACTACACTTCATTCAAGTGTGTACTTATTATCAGGAAAGGATCTGATATGAGTTACCTATTCTTAAGTGTGAGTGCAGTTCATTGTGTTATCTCTGGGTGCAGTTTAATTTTTATTTCTGATTATGGGGGAAAAAAGCTTTGTGTTAACTAAAAGAAATTTCAGGTATCAATTACCACGTGAAAAAACGTGTTTTGGGGAATAGGGGAGCCCTTCTGAAGCTCCCTGAAATTATACACCATACGCTCCTTCTTCTACCAGCCTTGCTAATATTTTGTACAGTCAATATTTTAAAAATACTTTTCAATAACTTACTCTTCACTAATTCATCTATTTAATAAATCAATTCACTTTGCTTATCTCATTTCTTCAGGAATATGAAGGAGACCGCAATGAGGCAGGTGAACGACATGGAAAAGGGAAGGCAATATTGCCCAATGGGGATATATATGATGGATATTATGAATTTGGTAAAAGACATGGTCAGGTAAGAATGAATATGTTATCTGACTTTTTTTAAATGAGTGTTCTTTGAATTAGACTTAGAAATGACAAGAACAATGTATTTCAGGGGACCTACAGATTTAAGAATGGTGCTCGATACATTGGAGAATACCAACAAAATAAAAAACATGGTCAAGGCTTGTTTATCTATCCAGATGGATCAAAATATGAAGGTAGAATTGTATTGTTACATATTATTGTTTCAACATAAGAAAATCAGTTCAATTTTTCTTCTGGTGACTGAACTCATCTGTGAATATTGAAATACATGAGAAACTCCAAATTCTTTGGTTCAGTCAGTCAAAAGTAATTTATTGAGTACCTACTTTGTACAATATCCACTGTGGGAAATAACAGACAAAAATATAATTCCTTCCTTCAAGGACTTTGCGATCTAGCCAGTGAGACAGGATCTCTAAATATAAAAAGATAGCTAGCAATATAAAGTAACATTTAGTAAATAGCAAAAAAAATAATTGCTTTAAAAATTCATTTTGGGTTTGTGTGTTCAGAGAAGTAAAGAGAAGGACCTGAGGATTTTGAGCAGGTGATTGACCTAATGTAGGAAGAGTTTTAGGCTAATTCTGGGCCAGTGTTGGAGGAAGTGAAGGATGAGTTTCTAAATGTCAAAAGCTGGTACTGAGGTAGAATATAGTTTTGAAGAGAGTCTACGTGAGAATACTATAAGCTATTTATGCTAGAGTTCTCTTTCTCCTCTAAGAAAAGAATTTGTTTAATTCCTTACTTATCTTCTTGATAATTTCATTTTTATTATAGAAGGTAGAGAAAGTATAAGGGAAATTACATTCTAAATCTAATTTTGACCCACAAAGAACTAGTTGGTGAAGGAATGTCAAGAAATATGAAAGGAAACAACTCTGCTGTTTTTAAACTCAACATGTCCAAAATATAGCCCATTATCTTGACCCTCAACCCTACCCCTCTTCCCAATTCCCCTGTTTTGAGGGTGGCATTTTTTCCCCCAGGCCTGCAAGTTTGTAGCCTTGGAGTAATTCTTTACATTTCTTAATGTTAACAATTAGCATCTTAATAATTCTTAATCTGCCTCCTCACACATATTGCTATGTCTTGTAGATCCTGCTTCCTTATTTCATATTGATACCCTTCTTTTTTTTCACTTGCCTAAACTATTGCAACAACCTCCTGATTGGTTGGTTTCCTTTACTCAAGTCTCCCTCCTTTTCGATGCATTCTTCTCAGTGAAACACAGTCCCCCAAAGTAATGTTTCCAAAGCATAGGTCTGACTATGTCTGTCCCTTGCTCAAGAAGTTGAAGGTTTTCTCTTGCTCCCAGGATCAAATATAAGGGTCATGTTTTACATTTAAAACTGTTCACAAGCTAGATCCAGTTTGCCTTTGCAGTTTCATTACACATCATTCCTCTTCAAGAGCTCAATGTTCCAGCCAAAGTGGTGTTTTAGCTGTTTCTTACAGAGACTGTTCCATCTACCCTCTTGGTACTCCTTCTATGCCTTGGATGTATGCCCTGTTCATCTTCACATCCTGGAATCCAAGGCTTGTCTTCAAAATTCAGCTCAAGCTCTACCTCCTACCTGAGACCTTTCTTGGAACTCTCTACCCTTCTACTTGCCACCCACCTCTGTTTGTGCATTTGTGTGTGCAGCATATGCTTATATATGTTTTTTGCTATAAAATTTTAATTGGTATCTTTCATTTTTATACCACTCTCATTTCTTTCTTTTTGAATTTTATTTTTATTTTTCCAAGAAACAAGCCTTTATTTCATTAATTTGTCTACCCTAAAACCTCTAACCCTAGTACCCAATAAGCAATTTTTAAAAAAAATCAATGCACCTCCCTCCACATCGCTCAATATATATATAGCTGTATGCCCATGAAAACAAATTTCCATATGAGCAATATTTGAAAACATTTTTTTTTATATTTTAAGTTCATTACCTCTATCAAGAGTGAGTTGAATGTTTTGTCTCATTCTTTTGGAGTTTTGATTTATCATTGTTTTGACCAAAGTTCTAAAATTTTTCAGAACTTTTTTCTCTGTAATGTTACAATTCTATAAATTATTCCAATAGTTCTACTTACTTTGCTCCTCATCAGTCAATAAGTTTTCCCAGTTTCATTTGAAATTGTCAATTTCATAATTTCTTATTGCATATATATACCAGTCAGTCAATAACCATTTATTAAGTACTTACTATGTGCCTGTTCTAAGCAAGGAAGATTCAAAGAAAGGCATTGTTTCGGATAAGGCTGCTCTATAAATATGGATTAGAAAAAGAGATAAGCAGGGAAATTTTATCATGTTTATTATGTTTAAATAGATAACAGATAATAAGTAGATAAAATAGATAACAAATCAATACCAATACATAATATATGTATACTTGATGACATATCTAAATACTTAAAACAAAAGTTAATTGAATTGAAGGGAGAAACAGTAAAACTACAATAGGGGGGAGAACTTAATTTATTCTTTCAGATATAATCAAATCTAACCAAAAGATAAAAAAGATAGAAATTGAGTACCTGAAAAGAACTTTAGAAAAGTTATCTATGATAGATCTCCAAAAATTACTGGATTGATATAGAAAAATTTTGTGTACTTCTCACCTGTACATGGTAACTTGACAAAATTGACAATGTATTGGGACATAAAGACCCCACCCAAAATGCAGAAATGCAGAAGTATTTAAATATCACTTACTTATCATGATGCAATAAAAAATATATTCTGTTTTAATTCAATGTCTGTTTAATTCAATTTGACCAATGTTTTGGTCAAATACAAGGGGGAAAAGATAACAATCACCACTCACACACATGAGTATGTCATTCCAGACCTCTAGCAATAAAAAGCCAATTCACTTCAACAAACTCCTCTTATGTGGCAAGTGAGAAACAGTGTAGTCTAGCAGAGAGAAAGAACCAGGACCACAGAAACAGCAAATTTTGGGTACAAAGACTGCCTCTGACCTTGGGTGAGGTAAAACCTTTGGGTGTCCCCAATTAACCCTACTATATTATGTTTTTTTTTTGTTTTTATTTTATTTTTAATTAATTTTTTTTTATTTATCAACAACCACTTCCATAAGCTTTTGAGTTTTAAATTTTTCTCCCCCTCCCTCTCCTCCCTTCCCAATGCAATCTGATATAGGCTCTACATATTTATTACTATTAAACATATTTTCACATTAGTAATGTTGTAAGGAAGAATTAGAACTAATAGGAGGAACCACCAGAGAGAGAAAACAAAACAAAATGGAAGAAAAAAAATAGCAAATAGTATGCTTCGATCTGCATTCAAACTCCATAGTTATATCTCTGGATGGGCATAGCATTTTCCATCATGAGGCCTTTGAAGATGTCTTAGATTCTTGCATTGCTGAGAAGGGCTACGTCTATCAATATTAGTCATTGCACAACGTGGCTGTTACCATGTACAACATTCTCCTAGTTCTGATCACTTCACTCAGCATCAGTCCATACAAGTCTTTCCAGGTTTTTCTGAAGTCTGCCTGCTCATAATTTCTTATAGTACAATAGTATTCCATTACATTCCTATACCACAACTTGTTCAGTCATTCCCTAATTGATGGGCATCCTCTCAATTTCCAATTCTTTGCTACCACAAAAAGAGCTGCTATACATATTTTTGTACATGTGGGTCCTTTCCCCATTTGTATGATCTCTTTGGGATATAGCCCTAGAAGTGCTATTGCTGGGTCAAAGGGTGTGCACATTTTTATAGCCCTTTGGGCATAGTTCCAAATTGCTCTCCAGAATGGTTGGATCATTTCACAACTCCACCAACAATGCATTAGTGTTTCAATTTTCCCACATCTCCAACATTGATCATTTTCCTGTTTTGTTGTGTTGGCCAATCAGGTAGGTGTGATGTGGTACCTCAGAGTTGTTTTGATTTGCATTTCTCTAATCAATAGTGATTTGGAGCATTTTTTCATATGGTTATAGTTGGCTTTAATTTCTTCATCTGAGAACTATCTGTTCATATCCTCTGATCATTTATCAATTGACTTGTATTCTTATAAATTTGACTTAATTCTCTATATATTTTAGAAATGAAGCCCTTATCAGAGACACTGGTTGCAAAAATTCTTCCCCAATTTTCTACTTTCTTTCTAATCTTGGTTGCATTGGCTTTGTGCAAAAACTTTTCAATTTAATGTAATCAAAGTTATCCATTTTTCATTTCATAATGTTCTCTATCTCCTGTTCAGTCATGAATTCTTCTGTTCTCCTTAAATCTGATATGTAAACTATTCCTTGCTCTCCCAGTTTGCTTATAGTATCAGCCTTTATATCTAAATCATGAACTCATTTTGACTTTATTTTGGTATATGGTGTGAGATTTTGGTCTATGTCTAGTTTCTGCCATACTTCCTTCCAGTTTTCCCAGCAGTTTTTGTGAAATAATGAGTTCTTATCCCAGAAGCTGTGGTCTTTGGGTTTATCAAATAATAGATTACTATAGTCATTGACTACTGTGTCTTGAATACCTAACCTATTTCACTGATCCACCACTCTATTTCTTAGCCAGTACCAAGTAGTTTTGATGATTGCTGCTTTATAATACAATTTAAGATCGGCAATGGCTAGGCCACGTTCCCCTGCATTTCTTTTCATTCCCTTGATATTCTGAACCTTTTGTTATTCCAAATGAATCTTGTTTTTACTTTTTCTAGCTCTATAAAATAATTTTTTTGTAGTTTGATTGGTATGTCACTGAATAAGTAAATTAGTTTAAGTAGAATTGTCATTTTTATTATATTAGTTCGGCCTACCCATGAGCAACTTGTGTTTTTCCTATTATTTAGATCTGACTTTATTTGTGTGGAGAGTGTTTTGTAATTGTGTTCATATAGTTCCTGGGTTTGTTTCAGTAGATAGACTCCTAAATATTTTATAATGTCTATAGTAACTTTTAATTTCTCTTTTAATTAATTAATTTCTCTTTTTAAATTTCTCTTTCTATCTCTTGCTGTTGGGCTTTGTTGGTAATATATAGAAATGCCAATGATTTATGTGGGTTTATTTTATAGCGTACAACTTTGCTCAGGTTGTTTATTATTTCAAGTAGTTTTTTACATGATGCTCTAAGATTCTCTAAGTATATCATCATATCATCTGCAAAGAGTGATAGCTTTGT